TTCATTCTGTATCTACCTAACAGTTGATTATATCATGCAATGTTAGATTCAAGTTTTGAGTGAAAATGTACCGATTTCTTACCAATACCTTCCGATGTAGAATAAATTGTTGTTTTTTTTGAAGCCTATGAAGTGGTATGCTTGTGCACAGACCATTCTCCGTGCTATTTTTATACTAAGAAAAAAACGTACAGAGCCATGAAAAAAGTAACTTTGATTAAAGCAAAAGAACGAACAATAAAATTCAGTACTCAGACGATAATTAGATTTAGAAAATTCACCAATAATACACTCAAATTTATATCTAAAAATTCGATAAATATTTATACATATCATAGTTTATTTATAAAGGTTTGTTTTTGTTATCATTGCCATGTGAGAGACAGATAAATCGATTGAAAAAATAAAATTTCCATTTCATCAGTAATATGCTTTAGAGTTTTGTGTATAAGACATAATAAAAAGACTAGATCTTTCTAAGAAAATATTTTGAATTTCTACGCAAACGTCTAAATTTCTCAACTTCAATATCGAAGGTACGTTGTTTATTTTATTTAGGGTAGTGTGACACTATGAATAATACCTTTTTCTGAATCAGTAACTGTTACTCATTACAAAAATCGCTTTAATAATCACAAGTGACATCTCTTGGAATATTTCTCAATTTCACAATTATAATTATTTTATGTAAATATTTATTACAGAAAATCTTCTGTATATTTTCTATTCATAAGAATTTAACATTCGTTAGATGGTCATAATGGTCATAGTTTTATAATAGTTATGCAATACGATTTCAAATAGAATATAATGTTCTATATGATTCTTATATATTTTGAACAATACTCAAGGGGGAAAAAGCAGATTTTGGCACCTAAAATCTTTGGAAATCTCTAGAAATCTTTAGAAATCGTTAGAAATCTTTGAAACCCTAAAATGAGGCATATTCCAACAAGAATACAATAGTGAACTATCAGGCTTGAATGGAATTGGTAATGACCGGCTTTCATATTATTGTACTGGTACCGTTACATTCCTAATGTTTCCGTTAAAGAAGGAACCGTTTCAGCGAAGAAGGATTTTTTATGAAGCTTTATCAAAGAATTTCGGATGCGGGTGGTTCGAATATGCTGTTAATTTTTTGAAAGTTTGAACTTCAGTGCTTGGTCAAGTAAACTAATTTGGTCTACGAATGGTCAGATTTAATACAAAGCGTAGTTTGTTCAAAAATCTCTTCCTTGAATCGAAACTTCAAGTATACAACCCTAAGAAACTAATTACAGATTCAGATTTCTCAACCTCCATTACTTATAATTAAATTTCATAAAAAGTCGTTATTTTCATGAAAGACCCTTTCTTTTTCGAAAAAAAATCAAGGACGTAACAGTAACTATATCATTAATACCATTGCGGGTTGAGAACAGTTGGTATGGAGAGCTGTGTACTTAAAGTTTGTGCAAACTGCTTCCAAAATGTTTAATGCCATTGAATATCTTTTGAATAGTATATTCCCATTACTTAGAAGAGCGACAAATGGAAAAACTGAATAAGTTAAGTTTTTATGCATGTATGTATATTTTTCTGCAATCACATGTTTGTGTATATATATTCGAAATATCAGATTAACTATGTGATATGGCTATGTATGCTTTGAGCTATACTATCGACCAATCATATTCATTTTCAGTTTTTCCTTAATCAAGTTACGATTTTGTGCCGTGGATTCGGTCATATAGTATGATCACTAGTAACTAATTTTTCAGTCAATCTTCAAGTCTTCGAGTTCTCCGTGACTCCGATGTTTTCGACATTCAACTACCAACCATACTTTCTCTCTGACCTAAATTTCACTCTTAAGGCTGTTTTCTATACCTAGTTTTCGTCTTATGAATTTTCTCAAGCAGAAATTTTAACTAATCACATATCTTTTTCAACGACCACTTTGGTCAAATCCAAGCTTTCATATTTAGAATAGAGGCAAGCACAAAAGTTTATTTGCGTCCTGTTCGTGTTCGCTCTTTCCTTAATTGACTTTGATCAATCAATCGCTTGCTTAAATTGATATTTTATAAGCGTCGATGCAGTGTGTTGTATCTTTGATTAGTTCCGTCATACCACAAATATTTTCAAGTTTCAGTCGAAGAGTCTGTTACTTATAAGCTACAAATATTATGGAGAGAAGTACAATCTTACTTGAGCAGATTGTACAAACTAAAGGGTAATTTGTTCAGCAGGCAGATTTTACAAAGAAAGCGACCAGTCGTGAATGTCAACTCTAAGAGATACTGACGAACGAGTGACCACTGATATTAATGGTTACATGAATATGTGCTTTCGACAATAGCTAGAGAACATTTAGCATGCTTATTGAGAATACTCGACTAAGATTCGGTCAACGTTGAATTGCCATACATGGCAGATTTGTCAGAAAGACTGAAACTTCTAACAGAAATCATTCTGTATAACCAAATGTTTTGTTTGAAATTTTTCATCGAAAATTTTTCTGCTACAAATTGAATAGTTCATCGCAATCAGCTAAATCTAAATCAACTGAATCGTAGACTATAAATGATCTTTTAAGAAAGTAAACTTAAACATGTGAGCGACCAGCCGTGAGTAGTGTTCCAAAGAAGTGTGGTCGAGTATCTGATCATGAATGTGAAAATTCCAAAGGAGAAACACTTCACAAAGACTCGGTTCTGTAAAAAAGATTGTCTACAGTTTGCGTTCGATCTGCAAAACTCCAAAAAGCTTTTTTTCCTTACAAACTTCGTGAAACAATTTAAAAAAGTGCCTTTGACACAAATCATCACCTCCAGCGAAGATGCTTGTATTGTCAGTTAAGGAGATTGGATATATTGGAGTCAAAGTAAAGCTCTCACTAACAAACTTATAAATTTAAAATATGAGCTGCTGCTGGCGTGCACCGACCGCGATATCATAATTTTAAGATATTAACAGTGTATGTAGCATGGCCCAAGCTCAAACTTTCAGCAGATTGTTTCATTGTTTTCTTGATAGTTGGGTAGAGATGGCCGAGATACATTAGAAATATACATATGTTCCATATTTACAAAAGAGATTGTAAAAGGTCTTAGACAAAAAATCCATGTTAGCATCAATTCCACATATAAGGAAAAATAGATCCAAAATTCTCATTTTGGTATATTTTTTAAAATCTTTTTCAAACATATGAAATTAATATTTTTGATGATGTAACTCAAAAAGTTCCATTCAAACATCAAGAAAACAGAATAAAAGATTCTGCTGAAGTCTTGAGCTTTGATCATTCTAGAAACATTGTAAATACCTGAAAAACTTGAACATCTTGGTTAGTACATACCAACAACAGCCTATATTTTTAAGGGTGAGCATTTTTTTGATCACCAAAATTGTGTAGCTGCGAAATGATCACGAAAAAATGAGTGTTTTGATCACCAAATTTTTTAGCTGCGAAATGATCACCAAAAAATTAGTGATTTGATCACCAAATTTTTTTACTGCGAAATGATCACCAAAAAATTAGTGATTTGATCACCAAATTAATTATAGGCGGCAAAATCAAAAAGATAAAAGAAGGAAAAAAAATTCAATCAAATTAATGCCATATCATCAACGACTACAGCATCTTCGGGTATGCATCCCGTTAATCAAAGGAAATATTATAACAGAAAGCATAATTCTCTTATTCTAAATCTTATCCACATCCCATCAATCTTCAGACCCAGAGCTCATCCACATCCAGGGCCCGCGCGAAGGGTCAAGGATTGGGGGGGGGGGCGTAGAGAGATGTTTGCAAAACAACCTCTAAAAAGCGTAAAAAGTAGTCAAATTTTGCTCTTTTAACTGGAAAAAAACTGAAACATTTTGATTATTGGGGGTGTACACCCCCCGCTCGCGCGGGGCCTGCCCACACTCACAACCACACTCTCACCCTTTCCCCTCATCCTCAGCCTCACTTCAAGATTTCTTTTTTGTTACGTCCCATGATAATATTGAAATTCTTCATTACTACCAGCTAATAAGTTCATCTTAATCGCGTACGATTAGAGAAGTTGAGTTTCACTTATGGCAATATTTTTTTCCATTTTAATTGGCTCAACTCTTGATTGATTTGGTGATCAAATCACTAATTTTTTGGTGATCATTTCGCAGTAAAAAAATTTGGTGATCAAATCACTAATTTTTTGGTGATCATTTCGCAGCTAAAAAATTTGGTGATCAAAACACTCATTTTTTCGTGATCATTTCGCAGCTACACAATTTTGGTGATCAAAACTCAACTTTTTGGTGATCAAAACACATTTTTCCCTATTTTTAATGTGTTACTTTGGCGGTGAGAGCTTTGAATTTGATCCGAATGTGTTTAACTATACTACTTGCTAACATAAACGACACTAGTACACTTCGTCGCACGACACTTCGCCGCGTTCACTTCGTTGCAATCACTTCGTCGCACGATCACTTCGTCGCACGACACTTCGCCGCGTTCACTTCGTTGCAATCACTTCGTCGCACGATCACTTCGTCGCACGACATTTTGTCGCGTTCTGTTCGTCGCAGAATTTTTTTTCGTTCTGTTCGTCGCAGAAATTTCTCTTTCGTTCTGTTCGTTTCTGTCTACTTGCTGCATCGCTCGTAATTAATTCTTTTTTTTTAAATAACCAATGGAAATAACATAAAATAAATGAAAAATTACAAGAGATATGTACAATAGCGCGAGATGATTAATTGGAAAAACGCACCAACAAAAAAAAAATACTATTCCAATACAATCGTGATTGAGCTAAAGCGAGCGATGAATAATTAAATTTGTTACTCGTCTAATGAATTTCAGCATAATCTAAACTAAAGATAACACTGATCCAATATCCTTAATTATGGGGCCAAGTCAGATAAAAAAAGAAACATTTCACTTCTCAATTTCAACTTTCACAGCACACTATTTTTTAAGCAAAATGTCTCAAATCGAGAAACTCCTTTCTGTAAAAGGAAAACCAATGATGCTTCATGATGGTTATATCTATACTGTAGAACGTACAACAACGACGAAATTAATTCTTCGATGCCAGAATCGAGATTGTAAAGGCAAGTTCGCTTTGTACATCAATTAATTAATTCAAATGTAAATTTATCGATTTAGCTCGTTGTCATACTAATTTATCAATGGATGCAATTCTCTCCCAACCAACAACCCATTCCCATGCTCCACAATCTGATCGTGTTCCAGCTATTCAATTAAAAAATGATATTAAAGCTCGTGCTGTGATAACAGATGAACCAACCAGTTCAATTATTCATTCCGCCTTACGTACATATCCATTAAGTGCCGCTGGTGAACTTCCAAGAAATAAAGCACTTATGCTAATGATTAGACGACAACGTACTGTTGAAACAGTCGATGTCAATGGTCGTTTACCAGAAAGATTAAGAAAGACATATCGTGATGAAGATTTCATCTTGCACGAAGACAAAAATTTAATTATATTCACAACAAAAACTAATTTATCCATTCTTAAGCAAAACAAACATTGATTCGCTGATGGAACATTCAAAGTAGGCTATCAATTAAATGTGTCTCTTTTTTTTTTCTAATTTTCTTTTATGTAGGTGTCCTGATGATTATTATCAACTCTTCACATTACACGCGATGATGACCAATGCAATTATTCCTCTCGTCTATGGGTTATTAATTGGTAAAAGTTCAGAAGATTATAATTTATTTTTCGAAAAAGTTTTACCACAAGACAACTTCCAATCTTAATCAATTATGGCTGATTTCGAAACTGGCACAATCAAATCAGTGAAAGATATGTTGCCAAATGTGTTACACAAAGGTACTTTCTAATCTATTCATAAAAAAAGTAATTGAAACAATTTATCGTCAGATTGATGGTATAGCGATGGGGAGCCCTTTGGGGCCTTTATTTGCAGACGTGTACATGAATTATTTATTATCTAAATTGGAACGTAGATTAAAACATAATGGAGTCTTATATCTTAAACGATATGTAGACGATTGTTTCGCAATCATTCGAGAAAATACTGATACTGATAAATTATTAGATATCTTAAATAGTTTTGATACAGATATACAATTTACAGTTGAACATGAAATTGACAACTCAATTCCATTTCTCGATATCTCAATCACAAGAACATTAAATACTCTGAGAAAAAAGGAGAGTACTATTGAATTAAATTCATTCTCAACATCTATCTATAGAAAACCAACCTTTACAGGGCTTTTACTGAACTGGAATTCTTTTGTTCCTCACTCATATAAAGTATCCGCTATTAATTCAATGATCTATAGAGCAATCAGAATCTGCTCATCTTACTCATCGATGGATAAGGAATTTCAATTTATTAAAGACTTAGCATTAGTTAATGATTATCCATTAAGATTTATCGAATGCCAAATTAAAAAAACACTCAATAGATATTTAGAAAAATCTAATATGTTAAATAATTCGAATAATAAACAAACTAAATCTGTTGATAATAGTTCCAAAGGTCCACAAATCCTTATTGACTTACCTTATATCGGTAAACAAACGAATAATTTAAGCAAACAAATTATAGGTTTAGCGAAAGTAACTCGACCTGGTTTACATATACAACCAATTTCTCGTCCACCACGATCAGTTACATCTTTCTTTTCAGGGAATGATAAAACTCCAAAAGATTATCAGTCGAATGTGGTTTATAGAATTTCTTGTTCTGAATGTGATGGTAGCTATATAGGCAAAACCATTCGACAAGCCGTAAAAAGACACCAAGAACATGGAGCACCTCAACTAAACAGATCTTCTCCTTGTTCTCAGGTTGATGATCTTACATTAACAAACCAACACATAAGGAGATCTGATCGTAATAAAAATAAACCAAAAATTAACTATTTTCCGAAAATCGATATCCTAGAAGAAGATGATCACGTAAAGAACATTGAACGGTTAAAAAAATCAGCTCTCTACAAACATCATGTTGAAAAAATCATTTGATTAATTGGTCTGAATGGGAAATCATCTCAAAAGAGCCAAATAGATATCGATTATTAGTACGTGAATCTTTACATATCTTACAAAAAAAGCCCACTCTCAATCGAACGATGCATTCCACTCCTTTGATTGTTTACCCTGAGGGGTTACAGCTATCCAAACCCACGGTTAAAATTAAATTAACACAAAATAATACACCACATGGGGGGACAAATAGTCGAATATGCGCATATTCGACTATTTTATTCATTAATAGTGGAGCGCATTCACCTGCCTATTCATAATATGAAACTATATTGTCATTCTTCCTTTTTTTTAATATACATTCTGTTTTTTCTCACAATTTATCAGTGTATTCTGTCTTGAAAATGATACGCGAAGTATCGAAACGTTGTCTTATAATATCTTTTGTATATTAAATAAAATAAATAATTTTCTGCTGCTGTAAAATTTCATTTATTATAGGATGAGTATTTTCGCTTAAATGTAAAAAAATTAATTGCTCTTGCTTTTGTTCCACTAGATCAAGTTATCACTGGCTTTGACTTAATTTGTGATCAATTCGACGATGACGCCGACGATTTACTCGATTATGTTGAAAAAACATGGATTGGTGAAAAAAGCAGAAGAGGTAATTTTTTTCTCAATTCTTGAAAAATTTCTAATATACCGAACTTTTTAAGGAGCTGGTCGAAAGAATCCTCAATTCGATCATAAATTATGGAACGTTTATGATCGTGTCGTCGCTACGATACCTCGATCCAATAATTCGGTAGAAGGCTGGCACAATGCATTTGCTAACCGTGTTGCATTAAATCATCCAAATATTGTGAAATTGGCGGAGAAAATTCGTCGTGAACAATCAACATTTGAAGTGGACGTGGCGAAGATTCTTCAAAGTCACAATATTAAGACGAAAAAGGCCTGCTACCGAAAATTGGATGAACATATTAATCGACTGGTCAACGGATCCGACGCATCCCAACTGGATGAATTCTTAAAAAATATGGCAGCCAATGTTACTCTTTAGGTATTTTTTTTTCTTTAAATAAATTCTTTCTTTAGTTTTTTTTCTTTAGATTATTTTCTTTTTGATTTTTCTTTCTTTTTTGGTTTTTCTTTTTTTTTCTTTTGAATTTGTTCATCATTATTTTTTGTATTCTGTGCAAAATAAATATGAGCGAACTCATCAATTTTACATCTTTCATTAAAAAAAAATAATTAAGAGATATATGCAACGAATGGATAGTGATGAGCATAGGGAAAGAATTTTTCCTGCAACGAACAGAACGAAAGAAATTTACCTGCGACGAACAGAAAGAAAAAATTCTGCGACGAAGTGTCGTGCGACGAAGTGATCGGTTACCCAAGGACTAAAGGTGATTAATACGAAAAGCAAATGATGGATAACTAGTATGCAGAAATTATATCATTGTGATAGTGCCGCTTTATATAAAAATAGAACTTCGACAAACGGAAGAACTAAAAGTCATTTGAGCTTTCTTTTCATTCTTACAACCTAAATGCCGAATCCTTTCTCTATGGTTGAGGTTTGTATCAAAACTTCAAAAGTATAGAGAAATAACTCTTTTCTTCTATTGTTAATCATAACATGTACAACAGTACAACACTGTTATCAACAGCCGAACTACTTATCTGTCATTTAGTAAATGGTAATCCAAATGGTATACATCTAATAGTGAGATGTTATTTAGACTCCGAAAATTATAGGCTTTAGCGTTCGATTCACTATTGGGTACTAAGCCTAGTTAGCTATAGTCTTGCCTGATATATGCTTAATGTTACTGAAATTCTCTAAAACGGCGAGTAAAAGAGGCATCAATTTAGGTTCATCCTTTTTTATATGGATTAAAAACACCTCAAAATCTTTATCTTTCATGAAAAAAAAGAGCTAAAAGAAATATTTTTGAAGTAGTAAATCGATAAAATGTCCATGTCCATCTCCATCAGCACGTATATTTTCTCAAGCAGATTGATATTAGGTTTAGTTTTAGAAATGATTAGTACAAAATTTAGAATCGTTCTGAGATGTAGCATATGCTTCTGTTCAGAAGCAGTGTCAATAGAATATGAACTTTGCAGAATTCGCAACGCAGTTTTAATTTTAATGACGTAGTCATACTCAACACACTAAGTTAAAATGTGTCGCAAGTGTCGTGTTTTGCGACACATTGTACGACATATTAAAGTGCGACACAAGGAGCTTACTGCGACACATTTTCTCCAGCAGGACCACGACACATTTCGTACGACACATGCGACACATTTTCTATTGGTCCTTTTGGAAAATCATATTTCAATGTTTTTTTTTCAATTTAATTCCATTTAATTATTCCTATTCTGAAAACTGAAGCTGGTCAGATCCTGGGATCTGTCCAATCTCGAGTTGATCTGATTTGTATCAGACGGCTTCAGAGTAGTCCTCTCACGATCATAGATCGAGATTGGCATTTTCTCGATAAAAAAAAATAGTCAAGAAATAATCTAGAAAATAAAAATAATTTGAAATTTTTTTTTCTATGTTAAACCACGTTGTTTATATATGACCATATGTGCATAATAAAACGGTGAACGAATAGTCAGCAGACAGAACGCGACAAATTCGTATACGACACATTCTAAGCACGACACAATTTTCTGCTGGAGTGTGCGACACAATAATTCACGACATATAAACACGACACATTTTTATTTAGTGTGAAGCTTTAATCACATGGTCAAGAAATCTTTATGGCTCTGGATAAAAGTGGGCATTTATGAAGAGGAACTATAATCGTTGTACTTACTCGTGATAAGATTGAACCGTAAACTTAAACTCCATCCTAATAATACGAAACGACTCACATTACCATGTTACTCTATGATCCTTTTGTACAGAATAATAAATGAATTCAAAATTTTGAAGTTTTAAAGAAATGTATTATATTTGAAGGTGCTAAGAAGAGCAGTATTACTACTTATTTGCTTGCATGCGAGCGGAATCAGAGTCTTTCAATCCGTACAACCTTTCAGAAAGTTCACTAGGGAGTCAAGCTCATATTTAAGCTATTCAACATATAGTGTGTTTTCATAATTTGTGTGGCATACTAATCCAAATTATCTTGATCACTTTTCCTCTTTATTATCTCTAGCGATTGAGTCGGAATAAAGATTTTTGTTCAAGTGTTATACCTTCTTATTGTGTATGAAAATGCCTGTAGAAATGGATATACTACATCTTTGAATGGAATTTTAGTAAGGATGCCCAAATTTGTATTCAAAATAAAAAGAACATTTTTGTCAGAATTTAACGAGTTAGGTTTTGTTACATGGTAATATAAGTTTTTATACGAAAGAAAGATACAGAAATAGAGAGTCAAACTTAGAATAAACATGAAAATTGACCTGAAGTATAATCTCTCGTGTTAGATAAAAGAAGACCTTGCATGAAAATGGAAGTTGCTGTATACAGCAAACCGGAAGATTATTAATCAAATACCTATAACGAGATTTAGAATAACATTTCTTTGTTAATGTGGAGCAACATCCTTATCTGATTTAGAAAAAGTCAGCAGGCTCATAGAATAAGTTTTGTTTTCACCTAAACTATTTAATGGATCCCGCTCCGAAGTACCGAACCAAGAACATAATTAGGTCTCTACTGCTCACGATAAAATTAATGGGAATAAGTCATATCTATTAAAGAAAATCATGTCCATCATTGTTTCAGAGAAACTGAAGAGCAAGAATTTCACGATGCTGCAAATATCGAAAGAAAAAGATCTTATGCAACAATTTTTCGATTTCCATGAGTGAGATATCGAAAAAAATTGTCAGAATAGAGCTTACAAGAGCTAGTATCACATACTTGTGAGTTCTATTTCCATTATATCGACTAAAACGTCGATCCTACGGTGTTAAACTTCGTAGTCTTTTTATTCTATTTATTATATGCATTTAATGGTCAATATGAGAATACGAAGTGTATTTTGACTGATTTCCTCTCACTATTTAAAATGTGTTGAACAAGAAAATGAAGCACTCTAAATTAAATCTGGATCATACAGCAAATTAAGGAGTCTTGATTGGTGAACAGCAGCATCTGCTGTTCGCTAAGGTTGATTTTAGTAAATGTCAACAGAAAATAGAAAGGCACAATCTCTTTACAAAATGGTCGTCTCTGGCAATAAAATAAACATTTCTTTTTACATGAGCACGTGTTCTTGAGCAGCAGTTCTCAAAAGAGAGTCTTGTAGGTGGTAAGAAGCGAAGATTAAGTCAAGTTTAGTGGACGGTCAAGCGAATTGTGGTAGCAAGTACCATTTATATTGAATGTTAATATAAAGCTCAAAATTAAATATCAAGTTTAACATTTTCCAATCTAATACTTTATTCAGTTAAAATGATGTGACGAAGTGATAGGCTTAAGGCGAGTACCATTTAATTTCACTTTTTTCATCAAAAAAAAAAGCTATTTTAAGAAAATAATGGCTTTTTATAAGTTTGAAGAAACGCAAGTATGGTCGAACAATTGCAGTCTATAATAGGTTTCGCGACATTCATATCTTTGATTACTCAGCATGCGAACAGTATTTCAGAGAAACCATGCGCTTTATCAAAGAGAAATCAAGAGCACGAATAGTTATGAACTAATTAAGCATTTCGATTCCTCAACCCTGACTATCTTTTTTGAAACTTTACAAAAGAATGGTTATTACTGTAGAAAGTGTTTCTTGAATGAAAAATATCAAGTTCGAATTTTCTAGAAGCCAATTACAGATTTGGATTTGTCGCCTTCGATTGTCTTCATTGAAATGTTAAGATTATACCAATACATGCAACTATGTGACTAGATAGTTGAATGGAAACATGAAAACATAGACACGAACTCATTCTATCTTATACGACTCTCTCTGCAGTGGAAGGATTAAGTCATATAGGAACGCGTATAAAAGGAGGCTGAACAAGTTCTAAAGCAGAGATCTATTAAATCACGCAGATATTCCTTAATTGAAGACTTTAGAAATCTTTGGAAATCTTTGGGAATCTTGAAATCTTGAAATCTGCTTTTCCCCCCTTAACAATACTTCATAATTGCGAATTATATTATTCCCTCTACTGAAAGGAAGGTAATGCGCTGAGCAGCTCCGATGACAAAATATTCGTTCGTGTGTTTTTTTATACAGAACGAGAAGAATGTTTGTTTGACCCTTCATGAGATCGCTTCCAAGAAGGGTTATCGGACGTTCGCTAATAGGAATTTCACAAACTGGACTTTTGCCATTGGTGAATTTCCAATGAACTTTCTCAAATTTAAGGCCTCCCCCTCAAAAACCGATCTCAGCCCAGGTATGTTCAAATGGCATGAAATTTTCAGGATATGTTGGGGCTGTAGTGGAGAGGCTACGGTAAATTTTTCAGCTCGATACTATGACGTTTGACAGAGACATGCACCAAACAAGGGTCAAAAATAGCTCATTTGGCAAACAAGATTTCTCTGTTCGGGCTCCTTCAATATATTAAAATTTTCTTTTTGTTGGAAAGAGCATCTCAAGATGCAGTGCCTACCGGAGTTCTTTTCTTTTAATTCTTACTTTTTAAGCGAAGAAGAGAGATCACAAGTTCAATGACTCTAAAAACCCACTAAAATTGGTTGCCAATTTATATAAGTGATTGTATATATAATAAAAATCAAGCTTAATTTAAAAAAAAAGGGCTCTGCTAGGCACTGCATCTTGACATGCTCTTTCAAATAAAAAAATTTAAATATATCCCATGGACCTGGACTGAGAAATTTGGGTTGCGCGTTCGACATATCATGAATTGAGAAAAAACGAAAAAAGATTTTCGGTTTTTTTCAAAAACAGCTTATTTTTCAAATAGGGGATGATGGAAATCTTCAAAAATTTTTGAAAAAAATGAGGTGCTGAGTAAAAATTTTTGTCGTTTATGAGAGATCAGATCACGGGCTATCTTTCCCTGCATTTATCTTAATTTCGACCATTCTGACGAAAAGTGACTTCTCTTGAG